ACGGGGCAAGAATAAAAAGAAACTTCCTCTCTGGTTGTTATTATTCCGTACGATAAAACCGACGCCGGATAGTGCATTATCGGGTCGAAATGTCCTCGCGAGCGAGCCTCCCTAGCTGAAAAACAGAGACGCGAGCCGTCTCGTTTACCCCGCGGTGGCACTCTCGTAACACAGATTATTCTATTACACGTTACGTAAATAGAGGAGCGAAATAAAAGGGTGGAAAGCGATGAGAAGAGAACAGAAGAAGAGGAATGGCGAAGAGCGTCTCGACAACCGCGATGTTGTTTGGTCTGAAAATACGTTATTGTTTCACCGCGATAAAAAATTCAACGTTTGGATAATTACATCAGAGCTGATCGATCTGGCCAACCCCCAGCGGATTTCCATCGAGTTACTGACTTACTTTATCTACCCTTTTCTCTCCGTTCCCAGAGATGTTTATTAGACCGATATAATAACGGGCGACGGCCAGAATAAGATTCATCTCATCCCTTTGTTTCACTATCTAACTATAGCTTTTGATATTTCATACACTTTTATACATTACGTACAGTATTTTGTATTTTCTGTGTACTCAACTTTTCCATAAATGTACAAATATGCGCAGTCTGACAATAACGATATTGTGTATGCTCCGCAATTATAAAGCTAATGAAATGTTCTCTCATCGTGTATATGTATTATATTTCTGTAAAATATCTGTATATTCACACTATACAGAGTAACTCGTAATTCGAATTCGCAAATGGAATAAGTGATTCGTAAGGTGCTTATTATATGGTAGACATTTTTAAACAAATGTTGCATGGTTTCCAGAGAGACATGTCGTGATCTGTTTTTGTTTCTTTGCTTCTTGGTCTTCATGACACCGTACGTGCCCCTTTCTTTTCAATACGATTTCTTTTCCACGGCCGAAGGCACGTTCCGAACCCTCGAAGGTACGCTTACCTGCGCGCGCGAGCGCGCCACAAATGAAAATGCGTCTATCCGCAAGGATTTTCGAGGGAAAGATAGAACGAGGCGAAGAAGGAATCGGTTTTCGATAGAACCACCCGTGCGTGGCAGCTGCGATCCTTCTTTTCGAATCTTCCTTTTCGCGGTTCTTCTCCTGTCTTCCTTTCTCTTGTGAAACATCGTCGATTTTATCCGGCTACGGCTAGATAATCCCTTCGAATAAGAGTTAGAGCAGAACAATCTAACGAAGATAGAATGGAAAATACAGAAATGTATGCGAATCGACGGAAAAAATAGAGGAGGATGGATAAGATATTAGTTGAAGAGAGAGAAGGAAGATAATATTGTGAAAGAAAAACGAAGAGGAGCGAAATGGAGATGCAGAGAAAACGGAGAAGAGAAAGACGGTTGAATGTAGACGAAGAGCGTAACGCGTTGAAAGGAGAGACGAAGAGGACCGTGGACCCTACTGTTTGCCTTTTATTAAACTCTTGTTAAACGCCGCCTTTCTTCGTACACACAATTGAATCGGCAAAACAGCGAAGATAATGCCACGACCGTACACCGATGCTGAGGGCCAGGTTCTCCTGTCGGAAGACTTACCGCAAACACCAGCTCCTTGTACATCCTGAAATGGACACCGTGTAATCCCTGCTCTTTATACCGCGCTGCCGCATTGACTGGGTCCTTCAGTCGTGCACGTCGACCACTACCCCCGCTAATAAATGCCTACTGCGGTCTGTGCCGTTTCCTTGTTCGTGAAAAAAGCCTGAAAAGGATTCTCAAACGACCGTGAAAATCGCACCGGTCCTCTCCACCCTCTTCTTGCCGGTATACATCTAATGAAAATATTTGGATATTTCGACCGATATTGGCATCGACCAAATTTCAAAGCGTGCCATTGTTGAGGAAATTTTCAGTTGCGACAGATCTTTTCTTCATATGAAACGCGTGGTACTTCTGCAGTTTCCATATGACTTCATTTTCCAACTTCGAGCATGTTTGTAAATCTATTTCTTTTCTTTTTTGGAAAAATTATGTTCATTAAAGAAATTATTATTAAGTATATTTCATCCAATTCTTCCTTGCATGTTCCCTTAAATCTTCCTTTGGTCTTTCTAATTCCATCTATTGAGTGATGTTCCTAAAATAAATACATTGTTGCTTAATATAGCCGAAAATCACGAGCTACAAGAAGAGAGAGAATATTAAAAACACAATGCGTTTCGAAATATTAGCCTCGTAGATACGTGTCGCCGAAATCCAGAGAATCACAATGGAGTTTGCAATTAAATAGGTAGCATATTTTTATTAAATTCATACAGGACGCCCGTAGTAATAATTTGTTTGACAAAAATAAGTTGTATCTTTGCCAATTGCCTGTTAGAATTTTTATTACAGTTTCTAGCTGCAACTCAATCACTGTTAAATGTACAAAGGGTGGAAGAGGAAAAATGTATAAATCAAATGGCAAAAGAAAACTAAGAACTATAGTTGTGCACGGTTTATAAACGATGTTTATTTTTTAAATGTCACTTTTTCATCTTTTGCTTCGTTTCATTCTTTCTTGTTTTTTTTTCTTATTGGAGTTTCGGTTTAAGTACAATCATGGGATACCTAACCGATCTTCAACTTGAATGTAAATATCTTGCGCGTTTTTCGTGCGAACGTTACAAGTGTGATCACATAAATGTGTATGTACAACACGTACACATGCACATTTATACATATACCATTTTTATTTTATTTATATGTGTGTCCAAGGTAAAAACTAAGTACTCTCATAGAAAATGTAGATTAATTTTTTTCTTCAATTTTCGATTTTTCTCTTCTTCAGTTAATGGATTCTCGTTTATAAGGGCACATTGTAGGACTCTATTGTGTACATACATACAATACATGTTGCTTTCTGCTACACATACATATATTATATATACACATACGGTTCACATACTTCCAAAGAGGTATGTGGTATGACATATGAATTATAGCTCGCCTCCTTCGACGTGTCAAAATTGCAATCTCATTAACATAATCTTTTTTACCGCTTTATTTTCTTCTTTTTTTCGAACATTCCACAACTCGCTTTTCGTTCCTTTACTGACTAGCGACAACAATAATTGACTAATAAGTATCAGCATGAAAATGCATTAGAATATATGTATAAATAATAGGTACGCGAGGGGCCAGACTCTTGTGTACGAAGCCACTGATTATTATTGTTACTATTAGATTTTAATCATTTAAATTAGGATGTCTTATCGTAAGTTACTGGGAGACAACAGCACGTTCGAAGTAAGGAAGAAGCAAAAAATATGGACAGAAGGGACGAGGGGAATTTCTTTCCCGTTTTCTTCTTGCGTATTAATGATTATTTATACATGTATGTATACATATAGATGTATACATATGTATAATATTATATGTATATCGTAAATAGTATAACCATAGAAACAGATATCCGGGGCAGAAACAGGTCACTAGGTACTTAATTAGAATTACTTTCATTTAGATGACTTTTCATACATTTTGTCAAAAAAATCCTTGTGTGGTTCCACTTTTTTCTTTAATTTTTTCCAGCATATTTCACAAACTCTACATATAAAAATACTCGTATGCACGTAATAAATTCGCATTCGATATAATCCTCACTTTTCCCTCTACGTGAAATCTTTGTGTATGTAATCATGGTACACGAATACAAATACGTGAAAACTCGGAGAACTAACTTTACAGTTTCGTGTAGAATCTTCAAAAATGTTATCTTTTTCCCTTTTTTCTTTGGGATTAACGCGTAGTCTTTCGAATCACTATTTCGTACGTTTGATTCGTAAGTTTGTCTAAAACGTGTACCAAAGATTGATTTAAATAAACGTACTTGACGTGAATTTGCCATTAGCTAGTGAGTGAAAAGATTAATGTAGATTGTATTATATACATCAGTCCTCAATAGAAAATGTCTTAATAATCAATCGGTTTCATCTAACTTTCATCGTCACCGGGATTATGTTCAACGAAAATAAATTTAAACGTTTCTCCGATCAATTGCTACAACCACACCATTTAGACGTGCAAATTGTTATGATGCGCCCAATTAAAAGGATCTCCCTAAGATGCATCGATGTCCCATGCAAAACGTATCGAACCAACAAAATCGTGATATCTTTCTCTCCTTGAATCCATTTTGAAAATAATTCAATGTTCAACTGATAAACATACGGCTTTCACTCTACTCGGCATTGATTTTACCTTAAGTTCTCGCATAAAGAAACATAAACGCGAGGAGAATAATGCATTCTTAATCGGAGTTTCTTGTATGAAAGTAAGACTTATTCTACTTAGAAAATATGTAAAATTGTTCTATGTTCATTTCGATTTCTTGTGATACGTAACGATATGACAATATAAGTGTAAGCGTTGTACGCAATGTCCCTGCGTGCAACATTTCGCGAATTACTTATCGCTAAATCGTCGTATTTAATTTATTACCGTTCAGTGTATTGCATCTTGCGAGGACCTGCACTGTTACCTACAGTTCCATCATCCTACTGATTTCACATAAAAAAGAAAAAATTGCGTACAAATTGAAACTCAAAAGTTTTTCTTAATAAAAACTACGCGTTTTCGCTTGCGCGTATATCTATATTCAAGTTGCCTCCGCTACATCGATTGTAATTAAATGTAACACTTGTAAACTCTATTGGCATTCTTATAAAATCTATAATGCATACAGGGTGTCCAAGAAGAAGTGTCAGAGCGAGAGTCAGGTGAGTCTAGAAGTGTTTCTCGTTTGGCAAAATGCAAATTCAGACATGGCTTTTGAATTATTAACGAATAACACTGACCAATGAGAGCGAGCGTCACGATCCGGTCCAGCCTACCATTGGTCAGTGTTTTTTATTCATAAATAAAAGACCATGCCGCAATTTGCATTTTTCCAAAGAAAATTGTTGTTCAGAAACACTTCCAGAGTCACTTCTCTTTCGCTCTGACACTTTTTCTGGGACAGCCCGTATAATTAAGGAAAGAAAATGAAAAATAACTTTTATTACAAAAACAGATGTTCCATGATTCTATTTGCGAGTGTGTACGAAAATTCTCCGCAATCCTACGGATGTATGTAACAATAATATTTTCTGTATGTATAAATTGTGATTTTGAAGTACACATACGAAAAACAAAACACGATCAAAAATAAGATTCATCAAATGGGCTTAACTTAAACACACAACACATTCAACTAATTGCAACCAATTTCATTTCTAAAGATGCAAAACAAAAAACTTTCTATACTAGCCGATCACGATCGTTACGAGTATACCGTAAAGCCGTATACTCGGACTGTCGTGCGCAATCGTATCGTTCTTATCTACTAATGTGCCAACGTAAAATCATTCTTCCATCACAATTATCTGTTTCGTGTTTAAGAAAAGTTATTTAGTTGCATACGATACGATATTACTCTGTAATAAAAACATTTTTCCTGATCAGAAACAAAATCACAACATTGTTATGGTTCTTTAGCAGCGAGAATCTAGAATCTATACTACGTAAATACGTGCAGTTTTCGATATAAGTATCGTATTGAAAACTTCTATTCAGCCCAGTCGTATCGTACAATGTGACAAAGAAAAAGGGAAAGAGGAGGTGTATATTCACATTTTATGCTTGACATAAAAATATTGAGCAATTGCAAAATGTCTTTATTCTTTTTTTCTCGCAATTCGCATTATGCTTTTTCTTTACTAAAACCATTGAATTGATTACTGGATAGATACATCGATTACACGTTGAGTAAAATCAACAAAGAGTGATTTGCTGATATCACATGCAAAAAGATCAGTTCTTCCATTTAGTTTGTACGTGTAAGCATGCATATTTAATTTGATCATCACAGACATGATCAGAGATCAGTAATATGCTCTCGAAAACAGTTCATTGGAAGGAAGAACTATTCACGTGACGCTCGACTTAATTGATAAATATCTAATGTAATAGTGGTTCCCACCATATATGAGTTTAAACGATACAAATTTACAGGTGGATTAATTTTTTTTTACTTTTTTCGTTTCGGTTTACCTATTTACCACGAGATTCCCTTTTGTATTCCTTTTGCTTCTACTTTTCTCTCTCGCACAGTTACTTGGTCTTACTTTACAAGTACATAAGCCTGGGACATATAAATATTTCTCGTCGAGGGTAGTCGATATGGCAACGGCGAGTGCCACGATGCGTCGACGACACTTAGGACTCTAGTGGCGTTTTCGATGGCGAGTAGGACATCTCCATGGTGATACCGGCACTATTACGGCGGAATCTGTTTGGAATCTCGTTGCAATTTCGAGGTTTGCGTCTGCTCAAATGCCTTTCCACCCACTTCAACATGGTCAAGACAGAGTCTGTGCTTGGTAAACGTCTTTCTGCCGATGTACGAATTATATGCGATGAGGCTACACGAAAAGTAGCTGCCATTCCTTTCAACGCCTATATGTAATAAAGAAATAACCATAATAGTACATAAAAATTTCATCTACGAACCAAAACGGTTATCAAAGAAATTGTACCTTCATTGCATCTTCGTCCGTAACGTCGTCACCTGCATAAATAATTCTGATACGTTCACTCCAATCCAATCCGAATGCTGTGCGTAGAATGTAAATGGAAGCACGACCCTTATTCCATTCGACTGGTGGTTTCGCCTCGATTGCGCAGTGCGCAGGGCATGGTTTGAAACCTGCGTCGTTGATAATTTTCTTTGCCTGTTCGATCATCTCTGAACGACCCTCCATTGGCGTTTCGCGATAATGAAACGTCAATAACGCTCCTTTGTTCTCTACCCACGCACCATCTCTGCAAAGCTATGCCCCAGAAACGAAATCAGCAAAATCGCACCCATACGTGTATACAATGGATGAAATATATTATAAACAGAATTGGACTAGAAAATAAAAAATCGCACTCACTTGGTCCTGCAATGTTTGCATCAAGTTTGCCACTTTATCTTCCAATTCGGCTGGCATCGGATGAACAAACTTGCTGCCATCCGGGTGCAAGATTTCAAGTCCGTGATTTCCAGCATACGTGATACCCTCTATGCCGACCATCGACTTCACGTTGTTTACATTTCTACCGGAAATGATTGCTATGTAGACGTCAGACATGTTTGACAGTCTTTGCAGAACATTCTTTGTTTCCAGCGGTAGGATGGCGAGATCCGGATGCGTTGCAATAGGAGCCAGAGTACCATCGTAATCCAGTAACAGTGCCAACTTATGATCATCACCGATATACCTAAGGGGCATGTGTTATCACTGGGACGTTACCCGGCTTTCATCATGAGTCTGGTCGCATCCGCCCGCGCGGGCCCGCCTCCCAAAAGCATTTTTCTCAAGAAAACTCTTCAATAAAATTCTATCATAGATGCACGCGACAGCAATTCCCAAATATCACGTGAGATTTTAACCAATATGTAAAACATACATACATCAAGGAAACAGAACCCGCGATAGAATGGATCTGTAAGGACGTGGCATAAACGGACAGTTAAAGCGAGGAACGTTCCTTACGCGGCGATGTACCCAAACTCATGCTCATTAAATAATTCGATTGTTTCAAATTGAAACCTGTATTGAAAGAGAGCATTCCATTTCAATCGTTACACATGTATAGTGAAATTTTCTATAAGCATCATTGCTAGTGTGTGCGATAAGCAAACATTATAGATCTAAAGAGTTGTAATAATAATACTGAATTGAATTAAATACAATACGATAAATATCCAATTAAGGGGCCTACCCAGTGTGACCGTCCGAAATTTAGGTGTTTTTAAACTATATTGATGTATATGCGTATGATTGAAGTGTACGAATTTATCTTTTAATACAAAAATAACGAAAGGTGACCAAATTAAGACTGCAACAAATTTAAGGAACACTTTTTCAAGAAAAACACGTTTAAAGTACTAATTATTACATTATTATTTATATTACATTAATACTATTAGAGAGCTGCCACTCGAAAGCTAATTAAGATCCAACCTTGGGATTTTAGTACGATAGTTTTGAAGGTATAAAACTTTCGAAAAATGCAAAAAAGAATAAATCGATTTTTTGAAAATTTCACACTGAGTAGACCCCTTAAGAATGTTTTTTTCTATAATGTGTGTGTGTGTGCGCGCGCGCGCGCGCGTGTGTGTGTGTGTAAAAATGTAATTAACTTATAGTACTCAATGACAAAACACTTCAAACGTAGTATACTTTTATTATTCATCGTTTCATATATGTAAGTACTGTAACCATTGCAAGCGCATGCTCTGGCCGGGCCCAGTCATGCACGTTTTCAAATTCTAGTAATACATACTTGCATAAGTAGTCGTCGAAATCATCCATGGTCACCGGTTGCATTGTCGTTGCACCTACGGAATCATGTTCCTCTAGCGATCCCATTACTTGGAGGAACGATTTCATCCAGTAATTAACATCGTAGATCCTTTCACGGCGTCTCAGGTGATTCATTCGCAGTGTACGTTCATCTTCTGGCATTGTGAGTGCTCTAAAATACATACGTACCATAATAAAGTTTATAGCAAACATCAGAGATCCCCCTTTCTTCTTTAAATACGCGAATCTACACACCTATGAATAACTTCCGCAGCTTCATCCAGTTCGTATGGATTGCAGATCAAGGCTTCGTGCATCATCTCTCCAGCCCCAGCAAACGGTGAAACGATTAACACGCCTGGCGGTTTATTAATCTGACAGGCGACAAATTCCTTTGCAACCAAATTCATCCCGTCTCTAAGCGGCGTAACGAGAGCGACGGCAGCATCCCTATAAAATGCTGCCAACTCGTCTTGACTCACGCAACCATAAATATAACGAATGGGAGACCAATTGGGTGTTGTAAATCGACCGTTTATACGGCCGATCAATTGATCCATTTCCAATTTCAGATCCTGATACTCGCGTACATCGGTTCGCGATGGTACGGCAATTTGAAGCATAGTAACCTGAGTAAAAAGTATTGATTTTATTATTGTACGTACTTTTATTTCTTACGATGGGACAAAAAGTAGTTTAATTATGATCGGAGCGATATTAAAGCCGATTATAGTCAAGAATGTTACCTGTTCACGATGCTCTGGATGCTTTTCCAACAGCAACTCAAAAGCTTTCAATCTATGAACCAACCCCTTCGTGTAATCAAGACGATCCACTCCCAATACGATTTTCTGATTGGTCAACATCACTTTGTTAGCAGTCTCGGCCAGCGAGACGAATCTATCAAACGGAATACCAATGGGAAGTGGCCTAACTCGCACAGTTCTTCCACCGTGCTCCACCAGTAGATTCTTACGATCGACCCTGCATCCGAGGCTTCTTTGGCAACAATCGACAAAGTTCAGACAATAATCCTGAATGTGAAAACCAACCATATCGCAACCTAAAGCGATTTCATTTTCATCAGATTTCTGACCGTTTCAAACGGGAGAGAATTGTAACGCACACACATAGCTTTACACAGCATATACATATACTCTTTCCACCTTTTTTTTAATTCTTACTAATTGTATAAAAGTACAACAAATTGATTATTCAATGATACTCGTGTAATCTGAGAACACATTGAGTTTTTACAATAAAATTAGACTTCAGAGATACTGTGTAAAGATTAATAAAGGTACCAACTTACCAAGCATTCCTTGAAGGATTTCATCAGCCCAGGGGAATAGTCTGAATATGTCCCACGGTGGGAAAGGGATGTGAAGGAAGAACCCCAATTTACATCTGAGATTTTTCTCATCGGCTGCCTGCCTGATCCAGTTGGCCGTTAACATTAAATGATAATCGTGTACCCATACCAACGGCGTGCCATTTGGCTGGTTTTCTTGTTCTTTCTGAATTTTCTCCAAAGCACCGACCTAAATTTCAAAGCAAAACAACTATATTGTCCGTTTAAATATATTCGTCCCAGACAGTCCTAATGTTAGACAACTGATAATGTAAACCACGAATTTTTATGCATAAACTGAAACATTTGTAATCTTAATAATAATCTTAGAAAATGAAATCGTAATAGAACTTTGTGTTATCCTTCAAAAATAGTAATATGAATTTTATTGTTGTATCAGTAAATCGTAGTATCGTAAGTTTTGAATTTGTAAATTTTTGGCACTCGAAAAAAAGAATTTCCCACACTTGCTCTAGAAAATGGTTAATAGATGATACTTACAGTTTTTGTTGCGAATTCCTCATTGACTGCGGAATACGCACGCCAATGTTCGGCGATAAAAGTTGCTCGATCGGGCATAGAGTGGAACAATGGCCAGAAGGTTCCGTTGCAACATCCATTGTAATAAGCATCGAAGATGGTTGGGTCGACATGTACCGCCACGACCTGGATAACAAACATTGCGGTCCATTTAATCCACGAATACTATATCTACAGTATACAGCTGGATATAAATCAGTCTACGACGATTCTCTGTGTGCGAGCGAAGTAGCACTTTTATGGTATTTCATTCATTAGATATATGTACGTAAGATTTACACACTAATTATTACCATTTATTATTCTTGCTTTCGACTTTCATGTCTCAAAGTGGACAAAAATAATTGACTCGTTGAATGTCGAACAGAATTATTCATTCAAAATTATCTACTCTGCCATCCTCTGTGCTGACATTTTAATAGTATGCAACTAACAGTCACAGAGAGGTGTACTAAGAAAGGAATAGGTGATTCTTGACGTTGTGTATGATTGAAGAAGTGACCTTGTCGTCTATAGAATAATCGCTTCTGTCTAATGTAACTATCTCTCGCAATCTTTTAATCTTTACATTTGGTTACACAGCACAGCTATGACGAATATACATACATATAGTATACATAAAAGAAAAAGAAAATGAATTTTCTAAAAATATTTGTATATTTGTACATTTGTATATTCTATATAAAAAAGAGGGAACCTTCTAATACTTTTTTTATACAGAAAAAGATCCCATTAAAATATGGGAGAATGAAGTTGAGTTTCGATGTTATTACGACACGGTTGTAGTCTACAGACTTGCTTTGCAAACGAGCTATTGTCGAATCAATTTTTTCGTACTTTACACAAATTAAAACTCTTTTTAAGGATATTAGATATCTGATATGCATTTAGAAGTCCAACTCAAACTGTATACAACCAAACTGGTGCCTAATATTCAGTTATTGTCTAAAGAGAAAAACAAAAATCTCATTGAACTATTTTTAAAAATAATACATTTCCCTTCCTATTGATTCATGAACAGTACACAGAACAAACGTAATATAATTGCGAAAAATTTTCATTTAAAAAACAACTTGGAACGTTATTTATTAGTGTTATAGTTAAAGATCGATACGGCCTTTCGACTATTTAAAAAAAATGAGTACCTATAGCCTTTTATATCGAAAAGGTTCCCCCAATTCTCGTTCTGTATTATAGACCGGGCGCTCGTAACACAAAAAATGGAACAATTTTTTACAGTCTGCCATTGATAGGGGAAATATTTACAGCCACAAGCTGTAGATAGATGTACTCAAAAATCTTCGTTACGTGTTAATGCATACTTAAACATTAACTTTAGTTAGTAAAAAGAACGTAGTTTCTTGAAACAACTTTCAAACAGTCTGCCATTTATTTGAGCACAAGGCAAGATTGCGCAATCCATGAAAAGCTTATTGGCAGATGGTTTTCTCCAGTACAAGAATAAAGCGTACTTATGTTAGTTAGCAATTAAATCGTATAAGAACAATCATCTAAGAACAATTATAAACAATCTGCCAAGCACAATTTAGGCTAATGTTAGCCTAAAGTTGACGAAATTTCACAAGGCAAACTGTTTGAAAGTTGTTTCAAGAAACTACGTTCTTTTTACTAACTAAAGTTAATGTTTAAGTATGCATTAACACGTAACGAAGATTTTTGAGTACATCTATCTACAGCTTGTGGCTGTAAATATTTCCCCTATCAATGGCAGACTGTAAAAAATTGTTCCATTTTTTGTGTTACGAGCGCTCGGATTATTATTAGCAGTACTACTTGGGAAACCGTTTCTTTTCTAGTTCCTTTTATCCATCTTTTCGAACTAATTAAAGTAGTGCTGCTTCTTTTCAAGAAAAGACGATGACAGTTAAAGCCCGGCAGTTTCTGTCTTCGATACGAATAAGGTCTAATTAAGGAGAAAGGATGCCTGAGAATATTAAACGCAGTTACTTACTTGCAGTTCAGTATTATTTTTACGCTTCCTACTGTGTTTCTATCTTTAGTGGCAGATATGCGTATGATTAGTAGAAAGAGGAACTCGCTATGATCAGTGACAATATGTATACGTGACGTGGGCTCGCGTACGCAGATTAATACAGTCAAACACGAAGAATATATTATGATTGTTTTCAACAAAATAGTATCAAGCTAGCTCAGCGACTTATATACATATTTTATGTGCTTCTAATTCGGTACGAAAAATTACCAAAGAGCCAAAAGTTAATGAAAATACGGGTCACTTTCACCAAGCTCCGATTAACTTCATGAACGATTACGCGTTGCTAATAACAAAATTTTAACTAAACCTTCGCCAAGCTGCAATTGATTAAAACTGGGTTTTAACAACTTAAATTTAAGACGACCCTAAGTGATTCGTGGAAAAGATAATAAGCTTAAAAATATTCAAGAGCGACATTTCGTTTGCAAGCTACAAATTCACAAGCATTGCTATATCTATGTATGTACGTATTCACTTTCTTATGAGGATGTTGGAGAGTTAATTGACTTATGGTAAACGGAAGTGTATTGAATTCATACTAAGAGCCGATAATTCATTTGTTGTCGATATATTACGCGTTACATACTATTTCTTGTTAATTGCTCATATCATTTTCGGTACTTTAGTCCCCTTTATTTCCCGAACAGCGTGAAAACATGTCATCTCTGATCGGTGACTGACGCAAGCGGCCACTGGCAATCGCTAATGAGATCATTATTATTAATGTCTTCTTCAGTCCAGACATAACGGTCTGTGGAAGGATCTGATGTGGCTTAATTAACAGAGACTGAGAGAGAAACAACGGACTCTGCTTCGATTACGCGGCACGTTCAAAGTCGTTTATTTATACATATACAGCAAGTCAAAAGTGGATAATCTTTTAAAGACACCCTGTATGTTTACTAATTTGTTCCAATGACGTTTTGATATAACTGATATTCTGTAGACGATTAAGCATGTAAATATGGTTTATAAATAGCGCTGTAACCAGTGCTGTAACCTCTGAATTGAAACTCGTTTGGTATCTAATATAATACGGTGTGCTTCGTAATTATAAAATTCTCAGTACATGTATTTCTAGTATCAGTAATTTCTAGTATGTATTCGTTAAATTCATACTGTACGCTTATGATGAAAATAATTCAAACAGACACTGTATGTGATATGACTCACGTAACAAAATTCATATTAAACCATCTTTTTACAACAATACCCGTACGAGACAAAATGGTGTGCAAATATTATATCGAACGATTAATTATCAATTATATTAGGTTGGTGTAGATGAAACTTCGTTTCGTATACTAAATTTCCATTTCCAAATTAAAAATCATCCACTGTTATGAAACAAATTAAACATGGAATAATTTATATTTCAGCAAAATTTACAAGATATTATACTTATTGTACAATCCATTTGTAGAATCAGAAAATTTGAAATACTATTATTATAAAAATCAATGAAAACAAATTGCTCGAAAGAACAGAATGAAACCAAAAACGTAGCATTTAAAGAATTTACAAATTTTGGAAGTCACAATCTAGATAATCATTATCTGGAATAGAGTCATTTAACGATTTAGTAAACTGCACAAGTGGCTAGTACATTTATCAAATGAAGTGTATGATATTCTTTGGGAACTATGTCTACTGTATGAAGAAACCAACATTTCATATGCACAGCAGTCTAATAGTTGTAACTGTACATCATTTGCCTTGGCATTCGCTTTGCATTCTTTCTTCAATCCGATTTATCGATTGACCAGTTGAATTTGAATTCCATTGATAAGTTAAGTCGATTGCATTCGGAATAAATTTATTACGAGGAACAAAACTTTCTAGTATCGATTAGTCCAGTTAGATAGCAAAATTGTTTCCTAGAAGTTCTCATTTCTTATGTACCCTTTTCAATTGTTCGGCTTTCAATCGTTTCGCAACATAGCAAAGTTCATACATTCCAAAAAAGACGATTAGTCTCGCCTATGACCTATTCATAAACAATATAGACACGAATGAATCGATCAAGCAAGATGAACAAAAACATTTTAATTACTTGTTATCAGCGCTTTAAAAGAGAAACAAAGAACAGGGAAATATGCATACACAACCCGTTAGCATTGTAATCGAAAGATATAGTAAGACAAGCGTGCCCCTCCTCGCCCCTACTTCTTTTATACAAAACATGTTGTTAAACGGACTAATTGGCGTATGATCTAACTTACTCTCTATCATGACGAGTAATGGTCTTATTTACAAGAGAATAAGATATTCTCCTTCACGATGTTAGTGGACTAAATACTTACTTGGAGTTTACAGTGACAGATTCAGAACCCCGACGATCAGTGGGGGCTGAAGTTCATCGTGTTTCAAATATCTTCCTTTTTATTAAAAGTACAGAATACACTAATCGTATTGTTCAAAATTTTATAATCTTGGATTCGTTACCGTTTTGTATCACTAATTAAATTGAAGGACAATTAACACGACGAACTAAACTTGGAGATCAAAACACTAAAGCCCTGATTTTTATACAAACTTGAGATCAGTAGATAGTTCAAGAGACTGAGACGTATTTCAAGTAGTTACATCTCCCGGGGATTGTCATCTTTCAAATATTTTTAAACTTTCAAAACTTCGATCTATCGAGATGCATAGTCGACAAACAATCGAGCTACACAGTATAAACACGTAACGTGTTAAAACTTCGAACTGGGTATTCCCTTTCGTGAAACAAAAACAAATATTTGAATTTCGTGTGAATTCTTTTATAGAACTGTAAAATAATACCGTTGTATTTTTCGTTTTAGTTCAATAGTATTTATCGAATAAATTTATTTAGAATTCGACAGATAAAAATTATTTTTCCGTAATTCGTACGTTACTGAGGATCGTGATCGCAAAACTCCAAAGTGATATCAATCGCTATCATCAACCCACCTCTCATCAAGCTCATCAATACATTGTACATGTATACATACACATATAACATATTTGAGTGTTTGACTTGTACATAAATGTGTGAACAAAAAATTACATAAGCGACGATAGGTCTGTCCCTGGGTAACTAAGTTCAAAAGAACTGATCAATACAATGATGGTGAATCGTATT